TGTCATTAAATCAAAAGCTGTAATTGGAATCTGTTATGAGAACACAAGGGAACTGAGAAGATTGCCTCAAAGTGGACAAACAATCAGACGCATCATTAAATCAGGAGAATGCAGACGGGTCGGGTTATTTCAATAAATTCAACACAAAACCAAGGGAAAAAATAATCCTCACATTTGATACCACATGAAATCCCTTCACTGGGATTTTCTGTAAAGTTTTGTAAGGGAGTTTACAATTCAATTTGCACACAGTACATCCCACAAACAACTATAAAGTGAATGCCCAATTTTATTTGGGGTATTGTCTCGTCTTGTGCGGCGTTCCTCAGAACTCTGTCCCCTCCTCTTCAACATCTATATGTACCCCTTGAGGACATCATCCGCAGACATGGGGTCAACTTCCACATGTATGCGGATGACACCCAACTCTACCTCTCTGCTTCCACCCTCGACTCCAGGACCCACTGCTGTCCTGACAGAATGTTTGTCAGACATCAAGTCCTGGATGAGAGCAAACTTTCTACAGTTGATCATCAACTCCCGCACCAGGCTCCGTGACCCTATCACCCCCATCCTCGCCCGACTCCACTGGTTTCCCATCACACAGCTCCTTCCTTAATATAGGGCGAGACGTTGGTCCTTACTCCACATGTTTTTTGTTCACCTAGCAGTACGTAGGAACACGGTTTGTAGGTTGATTGGTGGATTGCTTTTCCAGAGCTACTAATTTCTTCAAAAAATAGTAATTTGGTCAATCAATCCATGACTGTTTGTGGGACGCCACTTGGCTGCCATGTTTCGCCCACAAAATCTACAGTCAATTCACTTTACAGTATATCTTGTGAAGCGCTTTGAGACGTCTAGAAGACATGATAAGGCGCTGTATCAAATGCAAGGATTATTATTATTTCTCTCTAGTTATTAATAATATTAATAATATTAATAATTCTTGTATTTGATACAGCATTTTTTATGTCGGGAGGACATCTTGGACGTGTTTTGGAGGATTTTGCTGTAAATTGGAGTGACTATGTTTTCAGGGGGAAAAACGTAACAGACAATTCACCTCATGAGGTGAATCATAGAATCACAGAACTATACAGCACAGAGGGAGGCCATTTGGCCCATTGTGTCCATACCGGCTCTTTGAAAGAACTGTCCGAATTAATCCCACTCCCCGCGCTCTCCCCATAGCCCTGCAAATTGTCCTCCCCAAATATCTATCTACTATTGAAAGTTGTTATTGAATCGTCGTCCACCACACTTTCAGGCAATGCATTCCAGATTAGAGCAACTTGGGAATTTCTTCAGATCTGGGGAATGACCCAATTTTATCTTGGGGATTATTGGTCAGGACATCAGGAGAGAGAAACTCCCTTCTCTTTTCAAATAGTTACAGAAATTTCAAATTAACACCCGATTTAAGAATTGTTCAAACTCTCATTCCTTACGATTCAAAATCAATTGTGTCCGGATCCGGGAGGAACACACACAAAACACACAAGGTAGGAAAGTCTAAATAGGGATTACTGGCTTTGTCTGAGAACCGCAACCAACCTTTTACCAGTAAATTGTGGATTAATTAATTAATGAGTTTCTTTGTGTGTCACACGCCCGGCCGACCAAAACAATGAATTCATCCAGGATAACCGAGGAGCAGCATCTTTTAACACCACAAACCAAAGCCCTAATGTGTGGCTTCAAGCTCACTTTGGGATGTGGAACTCATATAGTCTAAGATGTCACTCCAATGCAGTAATGGGGGAAACTGCATTCTCAGAGGAGCCATTCTTCAGATGAGACATTAAACTGAGGTGCCGTCTGCGTGTTCAGTGGATATTAAAGATCCCATGGCATTATCTGTAAAGAGAGGGGAGTTTCTCTCTCCCGGTGTCCTGGCTAACAATTCCCCAAATAAAATTAGTCGCTGACTCCATGGCTTATTTGTGAGACATTGATGTGCGCAAATTGGCTGCTAAGTTCGCCAACAAAATACAGTCCCCTGACACTTGTCAAACACTTGTCAGTGCTCAGGGGCTTATTCTGTTGACCTGTATGGTTCTGTGTTTGGATGAAGTAATACCGGGGAGAAGCTGTGGATTAGAAGACGCTGAATTAGAGAGATCGGATTACTGCCCTGACAAAGCGGATTGCCAACCTGGGATATTATTAGTGTTGTGGGAAGTCTGACGCCATCATGTTCATCATTTCCCGGAGAGATTACGAATGTGGTGAAGGGCAGATAACAAACTAAATAATTTATATCGACTCTCATATTATAGTGCTCCAGTCAACAAAGGGCACGGCAAGCGCAAGTAACTGGACGTGAGGTACGGATCAGCCATGATTTTATAAAATGGGGGAACAGGCTCGAGGGGCTGAATAACCTACTCCTGTTTCTACGTTTCTACACGTCATAATTTGAGTAAGAACAAAAGAGGGAAATTAAAGGGGTTTAACACACACACAGAGCCACATTTGACTGTGAGGTGACGTCTGTCCGCTATTTGAATATACATTATTATTATTATTATCATCACGAGAAAGCTGGAGGCACAGTGTTGGTCTCTGTGAAAATAAATACATACAAAAGGTCACGAAGCAAAACAAAATAGAGTTAGGACGAATTTCTTCATACAGAGAATGTGGAACTCAATAATTGCTGGAAGCAATGCCTCAGGCCATCCTCATACCCCTCTCCACCCTCCACCCTTTCTGACCCCATCACCAGCTTGGGTGCGGATTCCTGACTGTCGAGCACCTTGGGATGTCTTCCTGACATGAAAGGTGCTGTACAAATGTAATTTGTTGGTTGTTGTTGTTGTTTTGCAACCTCCTTTCTGAAATGTTCCCAGAATTATTATTATTGTCATTTTCTTGTTTGCTTCATTTTCTAGCTTTTTCTGCTTCTTCCAGGGTTTGACTTGAGACTAGTTAGTGTCCAATATTTATACAACAACAACAAATTACATTTATATAGCGCCCTTCATGTGGTGTAGCAGCTCGCAGCACTGGTACCATGAATAAACACATATTGGGACCTTTTGTTGCTCTGGGACGCTACCCCATGTGAAGGGCGCTATATAAATGCAAGTTGTTGTTGTTGTTGTCCTTGTCACCAAGCCATCTGTGCACTGTCATGAGCATAAGTCCATCTGGTTATCACCCACACAGATACAGACACACACACACACGTACCGTCTCTTCTACTTTTACATACAAGATTTTCTGTTTACTAACTCTGCACATTCTGTCTTTGCACAGTTACAACAGATGTGGTCAGGGATGTCCTTCAATCGCAGGACACGTACACACATTGTGCATTGAGAATGCTGACACACAGTTTCACATCAGCAAAGGTGGTCAGCATTTTCCCCTGTGCTGCTTTGCAAAAGTACATTGCAAAAGTACAGTGGAGTCCTGTAGCTCAGTGGTTAGAGCACTCGCTTTGCAAGCGAGACACCCGGGTTCAATTCCAGGCAGAGGGCGAAACCTTTGGAAAGTTTCCTTACTCCACACATCTAATAATAATCCCTCCAAAACCAAAAACAATAATAAATTGGTCATTTTTAATCCACAACTGTTTGTGTGACACTGCTGTGTGCAATTGGCTTCTGCGTTTCGCCCACAAATATACAGTCAATTCACTTTACCGTCTATTCTGTGAAGCGCTTTGACGTCGAGAAGACATTAAAAAGCGTTATATCAAATGCAAGGATTATTATTATATTATTATAAAAACCTTCCTTTTTGATCGTGCTTCTGTGAAGGGCGCAAGTTGTTGTTGTTGTTGTCCTTGTCACCAAGCCATCTGTGCACTGTCATGAGCATAAGTCCATCTGGTTATCACCCACACAGATACACACACACACACACGTACCATCTCTTCCACTTTTACATACAAGATTTTCTGTTTACTAACTCTGCACATTCTGTCTTTGCACAATTATAACGCATGTGGTCAGGGATATCCTTCAATCGCAGGACACGTACACACATTGTGGATTGAGAATGCTGACACTCAGCTTCACATCAGCAAAGGTGCAAGTGGTCAGCATTTTCCACTGTGCAGCTTTGCAAATACATATGCCATGACGTATTGTTCTTCAAATCTCACCTAAAAACCTTCCTTTCTGATCGTGCTTCTGATCACCTCCCACTCCCCCCGGCTCCATTGTCAGACTCTGTCACTGTGAAGTACTCCAGGACTCTACCCTGTGTGAAGGGCGCTATATAAATGCAAGTTGTTGTATTCTTACGTTTCGCCCACAAAATATACAGTCATTTCACTTTACAGTATATTCTGTGAAGAGCTTTGAGACGTCTCTGAGATGTGATAAGACCTTGTATTAAATGCAAGGAATATTAGACACAGTTTACCCATGATGATTCAGGCTTGAACACAAGGCGTGGATGAAACGTTGGGCTATGTTGAGAGTCAGGAAGAGAATAGGGGGGTTTGAGTATTTAAGTGGGTATTTACGTTGCTAACTCCCTGTTTGCTCATATACGGTGTGAACAAGAAGCCATGGGATTTACCTGTTGTCTGAAAATACCCATTTCTTTAAGGCTTACCAGATAATGTAATGATTTCGTCACAATGTGTATAATAATAATAATAATAATCCTTCCATTCGGTTTAGTGCCTTTCATGTCACTCGGGCGTCTCAAAGTGTTTCCCAGGATTTTACTGTAAACTGTAGTAACTGTGTACTTTGTGGGCGAAACACAGCAGCCAATTTGCACAAAGCAACATCCCCCAAACAGCTTTTCTTTCGGAATAATGACTTGGGATCTTTATCTCCACCTGAACAGACAGACGGGACCTCGTCAGAAGGACGACATCTCTGACAATGCGACGCCCCCAGTGCTGTGTTGGGGTGTCAGCTTAGACTATGTGGTTCCTGATGTGGGGCTTGAACCCACAAACTCCTGACTCAGAGGTCACATTGCTTCCCACTGATTAAAGTTACTGTGGGCGAAACTTAGACAGTTGCTGCTGTGGGTGTGTGTTGGGGGCGGAGAAAGGACTTATTAAACTCCTATCTCTCACTGTGTCAGAGCCCGTCTGCTCACAGCTTCATCATGGTCATTCCCCTCGTTCTCCTCGGGATATTCTGGCAATGCAGCTCAGCCGCTTCCTCAGCCGCTTCCTCAGCCCGACTCAGGTGGGATCTGACAGGTAAGAGACTGAGATCCTGTCCTTAACAACAGAGAGTGGTGAGGACTGCACAGAGAGAGGGAGAGAGAGGGGGGGGGGGGGGGGGAGAGAGGGGGAAAGATAGAGATAGTGCGTGAGAGAGGGGTGGGGGGGGAGAGAGAGAGAGGGGGGAGAGAGGAGAGAGAGAGAGGAGGGAGAGAGAGAGAGTGTGTGTGAGAGAGAGAGTGTGAGAGGGAGAGAGAGAGAGTGAGTGAGAGAGAGTGAGAGGGAGAAATATATATCGTGAGAGAGAGAGTGAGAGTGATATATATATATCATGAGAGTGTGTGAGTGAGAGAAATAGAGAGAGCGAGAGTGTGAGAGATAGTGAGTGTGTCTAAGTGTATATATGTAAATATATGTAAATCGTGTGTGAGAGAGAAATAGTGAGAGAGAGAGAGGCAATTTGACCCTCTGTTTGTTGTTGTGAATCTATCATCAGTGGCTGTGTTTGCTGTAGTGCAGGAGCTGTGTGTGGGTTACACTCTCTCTCGGGATTCTCTCTGTTTAACGCGACATTCAGGTGAAATTGACAACAACAACAACAACAACAAGATTCCATTTATAGAGCGCCTTTCACGTCGGGAGGACGTCCCAAGGCGCTGTACAGTTGGGTCAGGACCCGAGCATTGGGGGGAAATGGTCAGGGTGAGGGGAGGGAAGGGAGGGAGCGAGGAGGGGGTAGAGAGTCGAGAGGGGAGCTGAAGGCTGAAGGTCAAAGAGAAAGGTCTTGAGACCGGCCTTGAAGGAGGAAAGGGAGGAAGCGGCGAAGGCACTGGGGGATAGAGTTCCAGAGCCTCGGGGCTGACAGGCTGAAGGCCCGGCCACCGATGGTAGGGCGGTTGGGGAGGGGGATGTGGAGCAGACCGGAGCCAGAGGAATGGAGGGTACGGGCAGGTAGGTAGGGGGATAGTAGGTCGGAGAGGTAGGAGGGAGCGAGGCCGTGAATGGCCATGTAGGTGAGGATGAGGATCTTGAATTCAATCCTCTGAGGGATGGGGAGCCAGTGGAGGCGGGCGAGGGCGAGGGCGAGGGCGAGGACGAGGGTGGGAGTGATGTGGGCGCGGTGTCTGGCGCGGGACAGTACACGAGCTGCAGAGTTCTGAATGACCTGTAGTGTGGAGGGAGGGCCGGGAAGGCCGACGAGGAGAGAGTTCCCATAGTCCAGCCTTGAGGTGATGAAGGCGTGGACCAGAGTTTCAGCCGCGTGAGGGGTGAGGTAGTGCCATAGTCTGGCGATGTTCTGGAGGTGATGGAAGGCGGTGCCAGTTGTGGTGCGGATATGAGGGAGAAAGGACAGCTCAGGGTCGAACAGAACCCCAAGGTTCCTGATGGCTTTGAGAGGTGGAGAGTGCGGCCTTGGATGCTGATGCTGTCAGCGCCTGAGGTGCGGAGGCGCTGACGTGAGCCAATCAGGAGGGCCTCAGTTTTGCACACGTTGAGCTGAAGAAAGTTGTCTCTCGTTCAGGACTCGATGTCAGACAGGCAGCTGTCAGGACATCGGTGGTCGTGGAGTTGAGGGTAGAGGAGGAAAGGTAGAGTTGGAAGTTAATCCCATGTCTGCGGATGATGTCACCACAGGGGGAGCCTATAGAGGGTGAAGAGGAAGGGACCGAGGACAGAGCCCTGAGAGACACCACATGAGACAGTGTGGGGGGTGGAGGAAAAGCAATTCATGGAAACAAAATGAAGATGGTGGGAGAGGTACGACCTAAACCACTCAAGGACAGGGCCTTGAAGGTTGAGGTGGGAGGACAAGCTGTGGAGGAGGATAGCGTGGTCGACAGAATCGAATGCTGCCAATAGGTTGAGGAGGATGAGGAGGCAGAGGGAGCCCTGATCACAGACGTTCAGGATGTCATTGGTGCCAAGTCGTCCTTCTACTCCAGGATAATCCTGGAGGCGAAGGACAACCCCAGGTTACTGTTTTCTACCACATCCCGACTCCTCCGTCCCCCCCGCCACCCCACGCAGGTCATCTCCTCCACCCTTCACTGCGAGGAGATGCTGGATTTCCTTGAATCCAAAATCAAGCGAATTCGCTCTGCGGTCACTTCCCCTCCAACATCCACCCACCCCCACCCCCTCCCTCCCACACTCCGACTCCTACCCATCCTCCCCTACACACTTTCGTACCCGTTTCCCCACCCTCTGTCACCAAACTTATCCTATCCCTGAAACCCACCACCTGCTCCCTTGACCCCATCCCCACTCCACTCCTTATCTCCCAGCTCCACCTCCTGCCCCACATATCACATACATAGTCAACCTGTCCCTCTCCTGTGGCTCTGTTCCCATTCCCTTAAAAACTGCCACCATCACTCCCACCTTGAAAAAACCCTCCCTTGATGCGTCGCAGCTATCAATCTCCGGCCCATCTCCAACCTCCCCTTCCTGTCCAAGGTCCTGGAATGAGTTGTGGCCTCGCAGCTGCGCTAAGTAATTCCAATCGATAGCCTATATTTGTGCTGCCTTAAGAGCTGCACTACTCGATCCTTGAGTGGTATTAAAACTCTGCAGTAATAATACTCTGATTACATCAATAGCTGACGTGCTGACTTCATCTTTTTGTCAGCCAATCAACTTATCTATCACCGCCTTGCCCACCTCCAATCCCTGACACACGGGAACCAACTCCTCCATGCCCAGTACACCAGATAACTCTTCTAGTTTCCGTCCTTTCTTGAAGGACAGGTGACTTCTCATCCCCGTACAGACTCGACCCTCTTTGGTAATCAGTGGAACTAATCCTTCCTTTCCTGCAGTACCTAATAACATCTTTGTCGTCTTCATGGTCATTTTTCTTACTGGAGGAATCCACTCACCCCTGGACTTATACAGTTCTCCTATCCAGAATGGCTGAAAGCCTAGCAGTCAATGGTGGGGCAGAGAGCGCGGGGGACATGAAGCAGGTCGGGGTTTGCTGAGCACTGAAATATTAATGTATTCATTTTGGTACAGGGAGGATGGGAATCTCCCGGCCTCAATCCCTCCAAACGAGGCTGAAAGACATCACTGCTTGTGCAGATTGTGAGTGTTGGAATATGCAGAGAGCAGAGAAATCCTTAGAGCTGTAGCTCAGGGCTGCAGCTCAGTGGTTAGACCACTCGCCTCACAAGCGAGATCCTGGGTTGATTCCCGGGCAGGGCGAAATGTTGGGCAAGTTTCCTTACTCCACATGCCTGTTTACCTGGCAGCAAGCAGGAACACGGTTGTTCATCAATTGATTTCTGGGGGTAATAAACCCTTCAAAAAAAATAAAACGAATAAATTGGTTATTTCAGTCCACGAATGTTTGTGGGACCCTGCTGTGTGCAATTGGCTGCCGAGTTTTGCCTGAAAAATATATAGTCAATTTACAGTAAATCCGGTGAAGCGCTTTGAGAACATCTCAAAGATGTGATAAGGCGCTTTATGAAAGCAAAGATTATTAAATCACAGGTACGCAATGTGCAGATGACAGTTGGTGGGTTTTATAGAGAATATCACCATCGACAGCTATTCTATCAACCCCCCACCCCACCATTCTGTAACTCTCTGCCTCAGTGTCTCCATCACGCTCCTTTTTACCCGCACCTGAAGACTTTCCTTCTCATCTGTGCCCAGAATCACCTTCCCCACCCCCATCCCCCGGCTCGGCATTAAGCCACGCTGTCGGTAAACACTGCAAGATGCTGAGCAGCATGAAGAGCGCTGTGTAAACGTGTCAATGTCCAAATGTATTATGTATCTCAGGCTGCAAGATATCGCTGCCTTGTGCACATTGTGAGGTTGTTAAAATGTGCAGATAGCAGAGAAGTCACAAATACATTTTACCACAGTTCAAAGCTAACAGTTCATATCCTTTATATACACATACAAACACCGCAGGGTCAGAGAGAGCAAAGGGAAAATATAGAAAAGGAAGAGCAGTTTAGAGCATCAGAGTGTGAGCGAGAACGACTGAGTAAAAGTAAAACAGTAAGAAAGAGCCATAAAGAGAGTTGGAGAGGTTCATATACAAGGTTCTACAGTAACTACTGTAACCTGATGGAACAATTAGTGCTGTAACCGATGTATATTCCGCCTGATGTCCAATAATCCTGGCCAATAAAATAGGTGACTCACTCTATGGCTGTTTCTGGGACATTGCCTGTGCAAACTGGCTACCGCGTTCGCTCACAAAATACACAGTCATTACACTTTAAAGTGTATCCTGTGAAGGAAGCACTTTGATTATTATCATTATCTTTGGCTGGTGTGTGGGAGTCGGGAACAGGGAAGGGGATGGGGATGTGGGAGAGGGTTTTAATAAATGAATGTCCTATACTGTGCCTGGCAAGCGAGAGGATCCGGCTTGGATTCCATTGGTGGATCGCTCTCCGGGGGTAATAATCACTCAAAAAATATGGTCACTCAATCCATGACTGTTTGTGGGACGCCGCTGTGTGCAACTGGTTGCTGTATTTTGGCCCCAAAATACACAGTCAATCCATTTTACAATATATTCTGTGAAGCGCTTTGAGACGTCTCAACGATGTGTTAAGACTCTATATAAAATACAAGGATTATTATTATTGATAAGGATGGCATCCACCCAAACAGCACAGATGGTTAAACGTCTCATCTGAAGACTCTGACAATGTGGCGCTTCACATAAATTTTGGTCTCTATTTGAAAAGAGCATTCAAAATGTTTTGGTATAAAATTACAATACAATATACATTAATCCGGAGCCTTTCATGTCGGAAGGATGTCTCAAAGCGTAATCACAAAGCCGGGTGGGGTGGGAGCCGAGGGGGTGGGGGGAATGATGACCCAACGCGTAGTCATAGAGGTACGTTTTGAGTCTTGCAGTGAAATGCGGGCGCGTGGGTGGGGGTGTGGGGGCAGCGTGTCAGAAGGACCCTAGGATGGAATTTCCAAAGCGGGGGTAGAATGGCTGAAAGCCTAGCCGTCAATGGTGGGGCAGAGAGCGCGGGGGACATGAAGCAGGTCGGGTTTGCTGAGCACTGAAATATTAATGTATTAATTTTGGTACAGGGAGGATGGGAATCTCCCGGCCTCAATCCCTCCACCTTGACCCCTCTCTGCCCGTCTTCAGATCGCGTCTGAAGACCCTCCCTCTGACTCGGCATCAATCTCCACTACCTTTTGTAAACTCTTGATAATTCAACCCTGCTTAACTTGTCACTCCCACTTAAGACATCACACTGTCAATATCCCGGCTACATTTATTGATGTGCTTATACCTATGTCGTACGCGCTTCTCCTGATAACTCGTCACTGAGCTCTTTTCCATTGGAGTGATGAGTTATCTGGAGTTTACTGTGGTTCTCTGCTTGAAGTTGTCTGATTATGGAGAACACCACATAACTGTGACACAGTTACATTGAGAACATTCCTGTACACATTGACACACAGTGTGTTCCTCACTGAACTTCCTCAATTTCATCAGGGTTGTTGCTTAAATTTGCAGTAAAATCATGAACTGAATGACTTTTCATTGACATCACAGTTTTGATCACACAATCTGTTTCAAGACCTCCTCAACCTCATTCCGTGTTTCAACACAGGTTACCACATAGGTCTGACACATCTAAGAAAATTGGACCAAAATGCTTCATATGGAAAGATGAGGGGCTTGGTTTTCATTGTAATACACCTGTCTACACGTATGTGTAATGAGGAAATGACATTAGGCTGATGACTGAGATTACCTTACTCATTGCCCATTCATTTGCTGATAATGAATTAATCTATTAATTTTGGCCATTCATTTATTGATCATACTGATTTTGCACTTTGAGACATCTGGAAGACGTGAAGCGCTATTTCAAATGCAAGAATTATTATTATTATTATCACCACCCCTATGTGCATGTGTGTGAGTGTGTGTGTGGATTTGTATGTAAGTGTTTGTGCGTGTGTGGGGGTGAGGGCCAGTGATACTTTTGCAATGTTGATGACTGCACAATCTGCCCCAGAATAAACCCCAAACTGCTGAAGCATCATAGACATCATCATTATTATGATCTTATTCCACTTAAATTAGTGTTCCTTTTTCACCCCTCGTGGTGATCGCTAATCAGCCGTGTTGCTTCTTACAGATCACAAACACGACCGGGTCAAATTTGGACGTGAAGATTATGCTGTAACTCTTCATGAAGGAAATACCGTTTACATTGGTGGAACAAATGTCGTTTACAAGATAAACATTGTGAATTCTTCGGAAGATATGGTACAATAGAATTTAATAGTAAACCATAGAATGCTAGCAATTTACAGCACAGAACAGCATTTATAATAATAATAATGCTTGTATTTGATATAGCGCTTTTCACGTCGGGAGGACGTCCAAAAGCGCTTCACAGAACACACTGTAAAGTCAATTGACTGTATATTTGTGGGCGAACGCGGCAGCCAATTGCACACAGCAATGTCCCACAAACAGTCGTAGATTGAAAATGACCAATTTATTATTGTTGTTGGTTTTGGAGGGATTATTATTAGGCTCTGTGTGGAATAAGGAAACTTGCCCAAGGTTTCGCCCTCTGCCTGGGTTTGAACTCAGGTCTCTCGCTCTCTAACACTGAGCTACAGGACTCCACAAATGTGTCTGCTGCTCTTTAAATAATTAATTCAGTCTAATTTATCTGCCCTATCTCCACATCCCTGTAGCTGACTATGTTTTATTTTTTGTATTTTCCTTTTCATTTGCACTATTTACAGCACAGAAAGAGATCATTCAGCCCATTGAGCTGCACCAGGGTCAGAGCAAGGTGTTCATTCAATCCCACTGCCCGTCCTGTCCCCACACCCCTTCGTATACCTGTTTACTTCCCTCTTCAAACCCACATTGGCCTCTGCCTCGCCCACCTTACTTGGTAGGGGTTCCACAGCTCAACAACTCTCTGAGTGAAATACTGTCCTAAACTCTCCTTTCACTCCTCCTGTGACTATTGCTTATCTGTGATCTCTAGTCACTGACTCCCCGACCAGTGGAAATAGCTTCTCCCTATTCACCCTGTCAACCCCCAGCATTATGTGTATCTCTATCAGGTCCCCATCAACCTTCTCTGCTCCAATGAAAACAGACTCAACCTCTGCAATCTCTCCTCAGTATAATCTCATCCCTGGAATCATCCTCGTAATCCTCCTCTGCAGCCCTCCAAAGGCTTAACATTTTCCTGAAGTGAGGTGCTCAAAACTGGCTGCAGTACTTGACTTGTGGTCTAACCAATGTCCTGTACAAACCGAGCCATGGTTGCTTTGCTTTTGTGCTCTCTGTCCCTGTGTGTGAACCAGAGGCCAAGCTGTTTCCTGTGTCCTGACTATAATTTGCTTCAGTATTTCTGAGAACTGAGAACTCCAATTCGCAACATTTTCTGTACATTTCCACAGCATTTATCTTAAAATGCTTTTTATTGAACAAAATGAATTAGAAATGCTGCACAATATACGCTAAATATTTATGTAGCATTAAATGTATATAGAATGCACATGTAGTGTAGGCACAGACCACTTCGGTCAAATGGCCTCATTCTGTGCTGGGTTATTCCATGGAGGTAAATGCAGCAGCAATGACAACAACAAGTTACATGTGTATAGCGCCTTTCACGTCAGGAGGACGTCCCAAGGCGCTGGACAGTGTACACCATTTTAGACCCGAGATGGGGTCAGGGGGGAGAAGGGAGGGGAGGGGAAGGGGGGTGCCGATGGCATGGTGGAAGAGGAGGGTCATTAGGTGGGACTTGAAGGAGGGGGTGAGGCGGAGTGATTGGGGAATGGAATTCCAGAGGTTGGGGGCAGAGTGGCTGAAGGCTCTCCTGCCAATGGTGGGGCGGGTGGGTCGGGGACATGGAGCAGCCGGAGCCGGCTGAGCGGAGGGAGCGGGCGGGTTGGTAGGGGGTTAGGAGGTCGCAAAGGTAGGGCGGAACAAGACCCTGGAGGCCTTTGAAGGTTAGGACCAGGATCTTGAACTGTATCCTCTGTGTAATGGGAAGCCAGTGGAGTTGGGCGAGGATGGGGGTGATAGGGTCACGGAGCCTGGTGCGGGAGAGGACACGGGCTGCAGAGTTCTGGATGATCTGCAGCCTTTGGAGGGAGGAGTTGGGGAGGTCGACAAGCAATGAATTTGCAGAGTCGAGCCTCGATATATTGAAGGCATGTATGAGGGTTTTGGCGGCCTGTGGTGTGAGACAGTGTCGGCGCGGGCAACGTTACAAAGGTGGGAGAAGGCAGAGCGGGTCATGGCACAGATGTAGGATAGAAAGGATAGTTGAGGGTCAAACAAGGTTCGGGACTGGCTCAGTGAGGGGGAGTGAGCCCCATGGAGGGTGATGCTGTCAGTGCCTGAGGTGAGGAGGTGCTGACGGGAGCCAATCAGGAGCCTCGATCTTGTTGACTTTCAAGTGATGAAAGTTCGCTCTCATCCAGGACTTGACGTCTGACAGACATTCTGTCAGGACAGCAGTGGGTCCTGGAGTCAAGGGTGGAGGTAGAGAGGTAGAGTTGGGTTTCATCCACATACATGTGGAAGTTGACCCCGTGTCTGGAGAGCATATAGATAGTGAAGGAGAGGGGACCAAGGACAGAGGCTTGAGGAACGCCGCATGTCCGGGGAGAAGCATTTTGAGGAGATAAAGTGCAGGTGGTGTGAGCAGTACGATCTGAACCAGTCAAGGTCACTGCCGCGGAGGAGAGACATCTGTTTCCCTCAGGTCACCTTTGTCAACATGAGGATATCTGGGGCCACGCTGACGAGTTGGTTGTGGCTGTTATGACTGTCAGAAATGACACAAAACTGTTGAATTAGAATGACCATAAATAAATAATCTTTGTATTTGGTGTAGTACCTTTCACATCGGGAGGGCATCTGAAAGTGTTTCACAGGACTCACTGTTAAGTGCAGTGACCGTGTGTATTTGTAGGTGAACGCTGCAACAGGCGATTTGCGCAGAGTCATATCCCACAAACAGCCGTGACGTGAACGACTGATTTTATTTGCGACATTCCTCGCCAGAACACAGGGAGAAACTCCCTTCTCTTTTCGAATAGCATTAGATCTTTTAGCATCTCCCTCAACCGGCACAGACAGGACCTCGATTTAATGTCTCAACTCAAGGACGGCACCTCTCATTAACGCAGCACTCCCCCAACACTGCACTGAGTGTTGGCCTCGAGCATAGGCCCTCAACTACAAGCTAAATATCCTATTTTGCATACATTTATCTGAGCTACAGAAGAATTGTCAGCTTCTATATGGAAGTGAATTAGCTCAACAGCATCATTGTTGTCCAGGATTATAATTGTTCTTTCTTTATCTTTCAGATTCCAGTGGTTGATCAAAAGGCCATTGATGATTGCAATAAAGACCAACTGGTGAGTTATGATCCTGAACTCTGCAGACTATTCTGTGCGCAAGACTTAAAATCTCAAATAGTATTTCAGGCAGCCTCTGGAAAGAATGTATTTTTCACGAGCTATTTGGAGTGATTGGAGGGTTGGACCATTTTGTTTACTGAAGTTTGCAATAACTTTGGCTGGTCTCGAATTATTTGGGACCAATTTTAATCTGTTCTTGTGCAAATCCTTGGTATTTGTTGCTTCTCAGCCTGGTTAAGATTGATTTGTATGCATAATAATAATCCTTGTATTTGAGACAGCGCTTCTCATGTTGGGAGGAAGTCTCCATGTGTTTCACTAGTGACTGTAGTGACTGTATTTTGTAGGCAAAGGTATAAATCTAAGCTGTTGTCTCTCTTCTGTTTAGCAGTTTAACATTGTTGGCATCTGTTTGTTTCCAGGACTACTGTCAAAATTTCATCACTGTTTTGCAAAGATTGGATGAAAACAAGATACTTGTGTGTGGCACCAATGCTCAGATTCCCCGGTGCTGGCATCTCGTAAGTAGACGTTCCACAAACAGTAACATGCATTGAAGTAACAAGCATTGAAATACAGTGGAAGCGATTAAACCGGACACATCAGGGCCGGCTGCTGTGTTCAGCTCAAGCAGTGTCCGAGCTTAACCAAAGTTCCATTATTTCTTCCCACCAGAGGAGGAGCAGTGACGGCACCGCCTCCCTCCCATTGCCATTCCCATTGGACGGAATGCAGACCAATTAGAGGTGGCTCCAAGGTGATTGACAGCCTTGCAGCCACTTGTGGATGGATGGGCACTCCAGCCAATCACAAGAGGTCCAGGTGTCAATCAATCGTGATTTGACTCCTCCCATTCCCTCCCTTGTTTCTCCCTGTTCCTCCGCCCCCTCACTGATTGACAGCTAAAAGCCGCTTGTGAATGGCTGGAGTCTGTTGTCAATCAATCACTATTGACTCCACCCATCTCCATCCTGGAGCCCTGGAGCACAGGGTCCATGCAGAGCAGACAGTTTATACACAGCCACGTCCTAGAAACAGCCATGAAGTGAATGCTGGTGGTACTCCAGTCTCTGTGTCAGTAGGTTGTGTTAGGACTTCATGCCCAATGCTCACAGTCTAGGCTGATACTCCAGGGTAGTGCTGGAGGTACACTGCTTTGTCAGAGGTGCCGTCCTTCGGATCACAGTGTTAAACCAAAGTGTAAAGCCACAGAGTCTTTATTGCCCATGTCGGATAGTTTATCCCAGTGTCCTGGTCAATAATCCTGAGTAATTCACTTCATGGCTGTTTGTGGGACATTGTTGTGTACCAGAAGGAGGTGCTGATGTTGCCTCCAAAACGCAAAGGGACTGCAAATTACAGCAAAGGCTTTGAGTACGTCCTCCCAACCAGAAAGACGCTTTATGAATAGTGAGAATATTAATCTGAGTGTTCTGCAGCTTTATAGTTTGCTGTTGTGACGGCGATTTTTCCACAGTCATTTTCTCCACTCTACCTCAGGCAATAATAATGATAATCCTTGAATTTGTTACAGCACTTTTCACAAATTGTGAATTGACTGTATAATTTAGGACGAAACGCAGCAGCCAATTGCCCGCAGCAGTGTCCCACAAACAATCGTGGATTGAGTTCAAATTATTATTGTTTTTTTTCTTGAGGGATTATTATCAGGCATGTGGATTAAGGAAACTTGCTCAAGATTTCGCACTGCCCTGCCAGGAATCGAACCCACGTCTCTCGCTTGCGAGGCGAGTGCTCTAACCACTGAGCTACAGGAAATGTAGGCAAGACGGAAGCCATACTCTTTGTCTCCCATCAACGTCTTCTCTCCTGCGGGTATGAACTTCTCAACCTCCCCAGGCTCTCCCTCACGCTCAAGATCGTCTCACTCGTTTTCAGATCATATCCTTTCATGCCCTGACACCGCCCTACCTATGCAATCTATTTGCTCCCACTCACCTTTTGCCTCCACTCGGTTGACTCCGGCTTCCTGTTTCTCCCTCGCCCCTCCACTCCAGCATTGCTGCCCATGCCTTCAGCCACTACACCCCGAAATTCTAGAACTCTGTCCCTCAATCACTCGGCCTTGCCCCCTCCCTCCCCACTTTCAAATCCCACCTAAAGACCTTCTTTTTTGATTGTGCCGTAAGAGGTTCGGATGGAGACAACCAATACGGTGGTGTAATAATCCAGTTTACTAAGTTATATAAATATTCTTAAAACTGAGACCATAGAAACAGTCAAATCGATATTGATTCTAATGGGAAGTGTGCTGACCCTCTGTCATGACTTCAACTATTCCAAAGTAACATCTTTCTTTACTGTGTTTCTATCTCGGCCTCCCCTAGTCACAGAGAATGAAGCACCCATCCTTTTCAAGCTGCTAGTGACCTTGATCAGGCTGCTTTGCCCGAGAGAGATATGGATAACTTTTGAGCAGCCTTCCACAGCTTGTGACAAAATAGGTCACCTAGAGAACATTGGATCCGAGATTCTGGAGCATCTTGGCCAAGTCGCAATTCCTTTTGCGGCACTTACTGCTTTATCCAATATAAAGGATATATTTCATAAATAATATCAATATTAATGAATAATTATTAAAATGTCACATCACTTTACAGTAAAATCCTTTGAAGCACTTTGAGACGTCTTGAGCGCGTGATAAGGCGCTGTATCAAATACAAGCTTTGTTATTAGTGGGTGAATGCTGCTCCATTCTCTGGAATTCCGTCTGGTGCTAATTACACAAAATAAAAATAATCTTTTGTACATCTTTCACATCAGGAGGACGTCTCAAAGGATTTCACAGATTCACTGTAAAATGTCATGACCGTGTATTTGTAGGCAGACGCAGCAGATAATTTTCACACAGCAACGTCCCACAAACAGTTGTTGTTGACCACGACATAGGCAGAAACTCCCGTCTGGTTTCCAAATAATGTCTTTGGGTCTTTAATGTCCACCTGCAAAGGCACAGGTGGGACCTCAGGTTAATGTCTCGTCTGAAGAACGGCACCTCTGAAAATGCAATGCACTCCTAGCAATTTGCATGATGCTTTTCCAATCTCAAAACGCTTCACAAGGTTTACTGTAGTGTAGTGACTGTTTTTGCAGGTGAAATTATGACATTGTACATCAGGATTTTTCAGCCGAGTAAGAGAATGTGTCCCCTTTCTGAGGTTCAAGAGCTGACTGAGCAACGAGCAATAAAACAAGTAAAACAAGTCACCTTTCTAACACTAATCACTTGTTTCTGTCCTATTAGGGCAATGATGGGAAATTGAGTGTGGTTATCAGTGAGATTAATACACCTCTTGGGAGAGGTGTTTCTGGGCACACCCCTAAACAGAGGACCACTTCACTGTATGAGGGTAAGTCTAGGTCCAATTCACATCTTGTTTCTGGGTAAAATTGATGTTCACATCCAACTCCTCTACCCAAACCCTTCCCTTGTCTCCTTCGCTCCACCATCAGTAGGCAGCCAAGTCTCTGGAACTCTCTGCCTAATTCCTACACCTTGCTTCCTCTTTGCCTGCCTTCAGATCTCACCTGAGGATCTTCTACAACAAGATTCAACAACAACAAGATTCCATTTATAGAGCGCCTTTCACGTCAGGAGGACATCCCAAGGCGCTGTACAGTTGGGTCAGGACCCGAGCAGGGGGAAATGGTCAGGGTGAGGGAAGGGAAGGGAGGGAGCGAGGAGGGGGTAGAGAATTACAGTTACTTCCTGTCTCCCTGGTTCAGCATCAACCTCCATTGAGACGTGAATAAACAACATGTTGCTGCTGTTGAAGTTGTTGTCTGATTATTATGTTCCAATACAGACCAAAGACTCTATTCAGCAGCTCCTCTCTATAGAAATGGTGACCAAATCGTTTTTCAAGGATATAAAGACAAAAAGTGGGTGCGGACTCAGGACAAGTGGATACAGGGTGAGAATGAAATGTTAATAAATGTTTAGGATCCTCTTTCTTTACTTGACGTTTGAGGATTGTTGCTCTCCTCACCTGTCAGGGCTTTGACTTGCAGGGTTAACTGGAGCTCAATGGGAGGATTCCCTGCCCCCAGTGACTGGTTTGCCCTTCTAAGTCCTGCTTTTACGTTTTCAACAATGTGTAGAACACTCTTTAATTTTTGGTCTCCAGTTACACAATCCAACAGTCACACTCAACACCTTCTACTCAGTTCGCTCTGCTTCCTGCTGTTCTCTCCCTCCTGATCTCCTTCCATTGGTCAATTGGTCCTTGTTTATTAATTAGCATCCAACATTGCTGATGTGCTGAGATCAGCAGTGCTCTGGAGTACCTGACCTGCCTGGCTCAGGAACTGTCACAGAGGATGCGCTCGATTCTGACATTCTGTTGCCAAAAAATGTCACCTTGGGGATAGTTCACCTCAGCCCCAAAGTCCGCATTCCCGCCTGCCTCCTGTTAAATTCTGCCTAAAAACATCATCCCCCCACCCCCTTTGCTTGGCTTCCTACTCATTTTTGTCATGTGTATTGTTGAATCGTTCAGCCTGGGAAGACCTGCCGATCATTTCCCTTTGACCAGGTGTCGAGCAGTTTCTGAATCATTCTGTGTCCATTATAGACCACATTTCCATCACAGCACTATTAAATCACTTCAGAAATGATCTGGAGGTTGGGGTTGGTTATTTCCCACATGTTGATCTGTTCTCTTTGATCAGCTGTCTTCTGTGAAAGAGGAAGAGAAAATAACCAAATCATGCTGTTCCATTTCCAAAACAAACCGACAGACAGACAAACAAAAAAGAAAAAGAGAAAGCAAGTTAGAGAGAGTGAGACAGAGAGAGATCACGTCAGTGAGAAAGGCTGGCACAGTGTGCTACTATAATGATGGTGTAAGTCCTGATGGGAGGACTTTAGTTAACATTGTAGTCAATGTCATTTTGTTTGATGTCCAATTATCTGCACTGTTTCCATATCCACATTGGGCCAAGGCTAGTTGTTTGGACATTGGGCTCTCTGCCATCTGGGTCACTCTTCAGTGACGTGTGATCTTGTATCCTCTCGTTTAGAGCCCATCTTTACCAATTTTGTGCCATTGGATGACCTGATTTTCATGTTCTTCCGGGAGAAGCGTGTGGGAACAAAGAACTGGGAGGTTGACCCCTGGATATCCCGGATTGCACGAGTGTGCAAGGTGTGTAAGGCCGGTTTGAACCATCAACATTTACAGCTCACAAGGAGGCCATTCAGACCATCAAGAGAAAGGAATTTCTCTCTCCCAGTGTCCTGGCCAAAATCTTTGAAATTTTTTTTTTAAAAAAGGCCTTTTATTTCGTGGCTGTTTATTGGACATTGCTGTATGCAATTGTGCTGCCAGTTTGCATACAAATACAGTCACTTCATTTCACAGTAATTCCTGTGAAGCGCTTTGAGACATCCTTCTGATGTGATAAGGCGCTATACCACAATCAAGGATTATTATTATCATGTCTTTGCTGCCTCTCTGAGAGCCATCTGTTTCGCTTGTCGTTTCTGATGGTAGAGACCACAAGATGATGTGATGATGTGATCAAGCCGCTTTTTAAATGAGTCCCAGCGTCCTGGCCTCAACCACCCTTCCCGACAACCCCGATACAATCATTACTGCACTCTGAGTAAATAAGTACTTCCAGTTGATCATCTTGCAATTGCCCTCTGCAGACCTGAACCTGTGTCCTCTTGTTCTGCTGTCCCAGTGCAGCAGAATTAACTGTTTTGGGCAGTGACGCACACTGACACCAATTTAATGTGAATGAGGTCTATCAGATGGCAACTATTATTGTTCTGTATTGCTATTACAGTCTGATCTCTTTACTCATAGGCTGACAAAGGGGGTCCCGAATCTGACTTGTTCAATAAATGGACGACCTTTCTGAAGGCAAGGCTGGTGTGCAGTCTGCCCTCCCAGAACCTGCATTTCAACCGGGTGGAAGACGTTTCCATTGATAAATCTAATATGTCCAGCGAGACCCGAGTCTATGGTATATTTTCCAACAGATGGTGAGTACACCAGAGCTGCAGAACACCCTCGTTCCAACTTTTAGTCTAAAGTTTCAATCTAAAGGTAAAAGACCTTCCTTTTTGATCGTGCTTACGGTCACCTCCCCCTTCCTCCCAAATCAATTAGGCATTCCCCCCTCTGGCTGTATGTGGGGTGTTAAATATGCTGCGTTTGCCTACAGACACAGTCACTAGACCTAATAATCACTAATTAACAAACTGGAACAGGGTTAGAAAGGATGGTTGAGGCCAGGACACTGAACACATTTAAAAAGCAGTTTGATGCTGTGATGGGGATGATAGGGGGGTGTTCTGGTGGTGGCCAAAGGGCCTTCTTCATCCAAACTAATTGTGAAATTCAATTCATTATGTGTTTCCATACAAATTATTTCATTTTCTCTTTTTTCAGGAATTCAACAGCGGTCTGTGTGTACTCCATAGGAGATATTTTGAACGTGTTTAAGAATTCCAATTTCAAGGGTTTCACTGGAAAATTCCTGACCATAGGCCTGGCACGGTAAGGAGTGACACAAATCTAGTTGTTCACAACACACAAATTAAGGTTCACTGATTGTTTGGAAGTGAATGACAAGCTTCTGCTGCAATAATAATCCTTGCACTTGATGTAACGCCTTATCACGTCTTCGAGACATCTCAAACCAATTCACAGAATATACTGTAAACTGTATGTTTATTTTGTGGGTGAAATGTTTCGCCAATTGTGCACAGCAGCGTCCCACGAACAGTGTGAATTAAGTGACCAAATTATTATAATTTTTTGAAATCTGAAAAAGTGATCCATCAATTGACTAACAACTTGGTTCCTACTTACTGCTGAGTAAACAGAGGTGTGTGGACTATGGAAACTTGCCTAAGGTTTCACACTGCCCGGAAACTGAACCTGGGTCCCCTCACTTGCAAGGCGAGCGTGCTAACCACCACGTTACATGCCCTGTCTGTCCAGGGTAACAGAGCTGGGGTTTATTGACTTATTTTCAACCCGAAATGTTTACAGTCCTTCTCATTCCAACCCCCTTATCTGTATGACGCTGAATATAACAGAGACATTGATGTGGAGGATAATCAGTTGACTGTTTTTACTTAAAAAATCTTCTTGTTTTGTGTTTGCATGTGATGCCAAAGAGAGAGAGAGGGGGAGGGCAGCAAATGATCAGTTCCTGAAAACAGCATCTGTTTAAAGCTTTACAAACGTTAGCATTCTGTTAATCTTCACTGGGCAGTCTTTAAATAGGATTTATCAAAGAGGAATGGGGCATTGAGATTCTCTCCCAAAGGTGGATAAAGTCAAAGACAACTTATAGCACAAATAAAGGTTAAATCTCCTGTTTCTTTTTGCACAAATATTGCAGTGTGTTGCTGACAGTCAGAGGGTACCACGTGACACCTTGATCTTCATAAGTAGACACCCTGAGATGGAGCAGCCGATCAACCCCATCGGAGGAAAACCAATCATCATCAGCAAACAGCACTACTTCAAGAAAATAGTGGTGGACAGAATTGTTGGGAAAGCTGGCCTGATCTCCCATGTTCTCTACCTGGCTACAGGTAGGTCATGGCAGGCTCTCGTTTGGCTAAATAGTCTTACTGACACATTAATGGGTCCTCAAGCCTTGCCTCTCGCCATCCTGGGCCAGTATAATTTTGGGGTTTGGCGAGCTGGGGAGAGAGTGCATTCCATTCCAAACACAGAGATTTCCATGTGTATGTGAAACTCTCAGTATTTGGTCTGGAGGTTCTTAAGCATGGAAATGGTATTGCGCATAATATATTTTTCATGTCAGAACATTTCAAAGCGCTTCACAGGATTTACTGTAAAATACAGTGACTGTACGTGAATTTACTTATTTTACTCTCCCCTACTGGAGCTCTTTACTCTAATACCATTACTCTGCTCTTATTTAAATAAAATAATGTTTTAAAATAAAACATTTTTTTAAACATTTAAACCAATTCCCTTTTAATGTTGTTGAGGACTCGGCCTCAACAGGTACTGAACGATTTTCCAAAACTGCTATTCTCACACCTCTTTGTGTGCGAGTGGTGTGAGGGGCTGTCCATCTGCAACAACATATTGAAACACACAGTCATCAACTCCATAACAAAACCACTCTGTCAGATTAACACAAATCCATGAAGAGCTCATTCTTAATGAGCACTAACCACCTCACTCACACTCAATCACTTCATGCCCTGACACCGACTCTCTGACCATCTCATGCCCCACTCCTCCAGAAGCCTCCTTCGCTCACCTGGCTTAGGCCTTCTGTTTGTCTCTGACCCCTCCGCTGCACCATTGGTGGCCATGTTTTCAGAACATGTGCCCCAAACCCTCTGCTTTGCGCTTTTTTGCATGTCACACCCAAAGACCACCTCGTCTGCCTCTGTACTCGGGCTCCCATCCTGTCTCTGTAATACACTTTGAGACCAATATTCTGCCGAGGTGAAAGGTACTACATGTGCAAGCTGTTTTTGTGTTTGGAGATCACCTTGGGATATATGTTACCTACAAAACCAGTCACACCAGTTCAGTAATTACTGTCAACTTGCAAAACGCTACAAGAATGCAAACGCTTTCTTTGCTAAGACTGCTGTAACATCACCGCTTGTTTGATCTCTGCAGAGAACGGAAAAATCCAGAAAGTGGTGGAAATAAATGAATCGACCTTCGTTATATCAGAAATCAAAGTTCTGAGCAAACCGGGGCCGATCTTATCCATGTTCCTCGATTCACAAACAGTAAGTGGCGAACGTGCCCAGAATCATCCATCTGGTAATAAATACCCCAACCAGCATCATATTTACCCTCTCAGCACTGAGGAACAGCACTGACCTTGTGCCTTTTCCGTTTTTTCTAGAAACATCTGTACATCAACTCTGCGGAGGAGCTAGAGCGGTTTCCGATGCCGCAGTGTTTCCGTCACACAAACACCTGTGAAAATTGTGTCATGGCCCGAGACCCTGACTGTGGGTGGAACTCAATCAGAAAGCAATGTGAAACTTTCGATCCGAAGGGGTAAGTGATAACCTTGTGATTGTCAGCGCTGATTTCTAATCTTTTCAGTGGTCAGCCCGGCTCAGCTGGTTACACTCCCGCTTCGGGGTCAGAAGGTTGTGGGTTTATACCCCACAGTCAGCCAACTCTCTCCCTGTGAGCCGCCCATTTCAGGTACGAAAAGTACAAATGGCTGACTTTTGGATCACCACCACCATCACTTCCTGTGGTGTGCAAAGCAGGACGTGATGTTGGTGGTGACCAGGAAGATGACCATGTTTTCGAGCAGGCCAGCACAGTGAATGGGGTGCACAGTGCCATTGTAAGAGACTACAGTGAAGGGCGTTGTAATGGGTCTGCGCTGTGTTTAAACAAAGCTGCTGTGCCTTGTGCCCTCTGTAAAGAAATGGCCAAGTTAGAAGTTCCAATGGGATGTGATTAGGAAGGCCAGCGTTCTGTTGACAAGTGACTGTGTGATGTGGGATGAATGTGTTCTTACTGCATAGCCTCATCCCAGACTTTAAACGTGAAATCCTTTTCCAGGGCCCTCATCCAAGATCTCCAACATGGGAATCACCAGAGATGCAATAAAACTGAAATTAATCTGCTATTTGAGAAACAGATATTTAAAGGTGAGATTGAAAGAATGCATTCCATTCCAAACAAGGAGTAAGGCATGTGCAGTAAAGCATAGAGTACCACGGCTACCAACAAATAACAGGAGGAACTGTGGGACAACAGGAAATGCAAATCCAATAGACCTGTGAAAAACTAGAGTGTAGTTTGCTCGTCAGTGTTCTTAAAGGCAAGGTATAGTAAACTCCTGATAACTCAGCACTGCAAGGGAAAAAAGCTCAATAATGAGCTATCAGGTGGAACGCAGAGAGTTAAGCATAAGTATAAATATAAATTATAATAATATAAATAAATGCAGCCAGGATCTAGACAGTGTGATGACAGGTTTTTTTTTAGGGATTATTATCCCCGGAAAAACGATTCGCCAATCGACTAACAACTGGGTTCCTACTTACTGCAAGGTAAACAGAGTGTGGAGTATTAAAACCTGCCCAACATTTCACCCTGCTGGGAATAGAACCTAGGACTTTCGTTTGCGAGCCGAGTGCTCTATTCACTGAGCTACAGGATATCCCCAATATAAACACGGAACTTAGCTTGCTAGGAACACCCCATATCAGCCCAATTCCCCCTCCCGTGTCTGGAACCACTTTGCTCTAAAGCTCTTTGCATTGAAAAGTCTGCATTACCTTTCGGGTCTATTATAGTGAGAAGGAATGCCTGAGGCTAAAGCGCGGGTTTCAAGAGGGAGGTAGGCGAGTATGAAAGTTAGAGGCTTGACCGGGTGTGGATTAAATGGATAGCTTGCTCTGAGGGCCAGCACAGACTCGATGGGCCAAATGGCCTCATTCTGCACTATAAATATTTATGATTCTATGAAATCCACTTCAACCCACCCCCCCCCACACCACCCCACATTCTTTGTGGTGTTGCCTTGAACATGAAGATTGTGACCTGATCCTCCAGATAAAATTGGTCACTGACTCGGTTTATGGGATGTTACTGTGCACTCTGTCTAGTTCAGCTACAAAACACGCAGTCTCTACACTTCACAGTAAACACTGTGATTCACGATGAGATGTCCTCCTGACAGGAAAGGTGCTGTATGAAACGTCAGGATTATTTATCCTGGCATGGCCATCAAGGCTATAGTAAGCTTAACCCCCATTTCCTGATGCAACAAATTGCATTTATAAAGCGCCTTTCACTTTGGGAGGACGTCCCAGAGTGCTGGGGGTAACTCCACAAGGGGTTAAGTACGGCTTAGTAATGAGTTCTGCATTTTTCCTCTTAGCGAAACGTGGTTTTGCAAGACAAGGACCTGAATTGGGGAAAGAGACACAGCAAATCAACATTTCCCTGGATACCAAGCCACCGCCCATGTACCTGCCGTGCCGGAAGTATTCCTATCACGCCGAGTATTCATGGAAACACAAAGACCAGATGCTGCCCTGCTCCTCCACTCGTGATGATTGTCTTCTCCTCATCGAGAGATTTTCTGAGCCTGATTATGGCTTGTACGAGTGTATTTCGAAGGAAAATGGAATGGAGCAAGTTCTGGCTTCCTATTTTATTCCTCATTCATCTGGGTGCAGTCTCACTCTGTACCCACCTCTGCTTCTAGTTGTGACACTCCTTCTGTACTGAAGACATGGTCTTCACACCCTGGCACATTTCTATCTTCCATAAAACAAAGATTCCAACCAAAGGTCAGAAAGAAAAACACTTGCCACGAAAATGCCATTCAGCCTCCTCCTCCCAGGGTCTCCGTGTCACAAGCTGTTCTGTCGCTATAGCTTTCTAACAAATTTAACCTAATACCATTCGTGCAAAGACAGGCGAGTTGTTACCAGCGGTTTGAAACAGCATTGACGGCAGGACTCACTTAATAAGCAGCTGTGATGGGAAGACAACAACAGCTTGCATTTATATAGCGCCCTCCACGCCGGGCAGCATCTCAGAGCGCTTAACAATGGTGGAGCCCAAGGTTGAGCCAAGGGGAGGGGGAAGCTGTGGTCGAAAAGGCGCCATCTGAAGATGGGGAAGGAGGGGGGGGGGGCGAGGTGAAGGGGTTGATGGAGGGAGTTCCAAAGTTTCGGGGCATCGTGGCTGAAGGCACGGCTGCCGATGGTGGAGCGGAGGATTCGGGGCACGTGCTGGAGGCCGGACACAGTAGAGGGGAGGATGTACTGCTGTGGGGAGAGAGAATGTTAGAGAGATGGGGTGGGGGCAAAAATGGAGGGATTTAAACACTACAATGAGGATCTTGAAGTCAATGATGGTAGGACAGTGGTTGTTCTGGAGAGATGACATCAAAGCAAACAGAAGGGTCTTGTTTTTCCAAACCTCCCTCATGTGAAGCATTTTGCAGTAACAGCTCATGGACAGAATTTGGATCCAGCTGAATCTAGGTGTCAGCTTAATAATAATAATAATAATAATCCTTGCATTTGATATAGCGCTTTTCACGTCGGGAGGACGTCCCAAAGCGCTTCACAGAATACACTGTAAAGTGAATTGACTGTATATTTGTGGGCAAATGCGGCAGCCAATTGCGCACAGCAATGTGCCACAAACAGTCGTAGATTGAAAATGACCAATTTATTATTGTTTTTTGCTTTTTTTTTGCTTTTTTATTGCTTAGCCAAGTGAGTAGCACATCTCACCTCTGGGTCAGAAGATTGGTGTTCAAGCTCCAGTTCGGGACACAGAGCTCAGGGTCTCAGCTGCCTTCCAGAGACATGGATGTGGTTTGTTCTTGGATGAGGTGTACAGCCAAGAACCTCCGTGACCATTAATGATCCAATGGGCACTGTTGTTAAAGAGAAGGGAGTTTATCCTCGTGTCCATGCCAACAATCCCTTGAATAAACTGTTGTTCTTC